ATATCATGCGTCACCTGGGAAAGAGGGAATTCTTGACAAAGTCTCCTTTATTTCCCCTTTGGTTCATTGAGTTTCCCCATTCGTAGCACTTTCAGGAGCAGTGTTCTCCTTCTTTGTTCTATTGGGAATTTTTTCATTGAAGCTTTTCACTCTAGATTTATTCAGAATTTATGAGCTCCTATGCTTTATTGTGCTCATTGGCGTTTTGGCTCCATTTAAAGTCTTAAATCTTATCCCTCAGCTTCACCCAAATCTCTTCATACCGTTGATTATCATTGTTTTGGTTTATCACGTTCACTAATTTATGTAACCGATACATCTGGTGAAAGAAAAGGGGTCATATTAGGTGTACTCATATTTATTTTTAACCTATTGGGATTGTATAATATTTACGCACATTTAAGCCCAAAAATGTTAACGTAAATTATGCATGCCATAGGATGTAGTAACACAATTTTATTTGTTTACACTGATTCGTTTACTTTAGTATTTCTGACAAAGACTTTGCTGGAAGTCATCCATATTCTGGCTAGACAATATGTCTAATTAGAAAAATTCAGAAAACCTCCATCTCTTTCCCACCATAGTATACATTAAATGACTATATATATCTTTTACGAAGAATAAACAGAATCCTGCTCCCCCTATTCCAACTAGCAGAATAATTCATATTGCCTTGAATTGGATAAAAGGCTATATGCATCCTTTAGACTGTATTTTATCAAAAGTTCTCCATATTTCCATGTTATTTTATAACTTTTCTATCAGGTTCCATACTTTAACAGAATGACATACCTGGGGCCAGTCCTATTTAATTTTGATATATCTTAATTCGCACAAGAAATGTTCATGTTGTAGGATCCGCGGAGATGGAATGTAATTTTAACACGACAATAAATGGTAGTTGGTGGCTTAAGGTTTCATAAATATGATATCTAATCTCATTCAGATCACTATTTTCGGTGTGTATTCAGAATAAAGATTTTAGCTGACTATAGAACATGGGAATATTTTGATTCCATATTTACAACCACTGCACTCGCAAAAGTACTGATTTCATCATTGTTGACTACCACATTCATTCTAGACCCATGATTGTAAGCTCAGATATTATAAGCTTTCTTTCAATACAGATTCCACCGATGGGTTTTGATTTTGTCTTCGTCCTTTGGTCTACTGCTTAGAAGTGCATTGAAATTAATAACCATTAATAGGGCTCTTGAAAGTAATATTAACAAATGCTTTATCCTACTATTAATTGCAGAAACATGTTATTGATCGTGATTTGTTTTTTATAATGCATTCCTTTGCATGGCTACACCAGTTATAGGGACATTGAAAGCTAAAGAGGCTTAGGAGCCTTTTTCGTCTTGGTTCCTGACTTTTTGTTGGTGCGTGTCCATAGCCAGCTTATTAGTCAAGTTGAAACATAGCGGCACAGGAGCTATAGATGTTTTCAATTTTGATTATAGACCTACCGTTACCAACATAACTGACGAGTAATTCTGTTTGCATCATTCTAGACGAACCCTACTATAACCTTAAAAAATGCATTTCAAGGTAAAGAAATATTGAGTTGTTGACTTGCAACCTGTGTCTCTATCAAGTGAGGCGTAGAGATTGGTACTGATGCGTTAAGGTAGCAGTTGTTCTGCTTCAGTAAGTGAAGGCATTAAGAGTTAATGTGTTATAAGATTCCAACCATAAGCTGAAAATTTCTACTTCGATGCTCGGTGAATGATTATAGCTCTAAAGTTTTAACTTAAAGCTAAAGAGCTGTTCGCTATTCCTCAAATGATGCTGATCTCTGACGAAATTTACTGCGAGGTCAATCACGTCACAACAGACTTCATTTATTTACTGCCTATTATCCAGTGGTTTGAAAATACGTTTACTTTGGTTCCCATGAAAATCATGACCCAATGAGATATGAGAATCGCTACTCACTAACATCTCTGAGATTTACCTTAGTGCTATTGTGAATTTGAGAAAAGTTGGGATTCTTAGGGCATAGAAATCAACCACAGTGGTTGATCTTTTATGTGATCACCTCACGGGCCAAAGATTTTGAGTTCAGTCCCTTATGGATTCGTGGATGTACGCTGACAAAAAGATACCAAATTGCAATTTAATGGCCTCCACCCTCGCTTCTAGTACTAAGTCTCCAACGATCCTCTTACTGATACTTATTAGTGTCAGAATATAAAAGTCCACATTGGATATGATTGTGACTACGTTCAAAACTACTTCGTCGTGTGAGTCATGTGATAAAGAAACTAACACAGAATTACAAGTTGTCACACTTTTCAAGTTTAGAACTTAGAGTCTATTTTTCACTGAGTTCTGTGCTTTTATACCACGGTGAGCTGCTGTCATTTGTTAATAATTGCTGGCTTGTAATGACACAGAAAAGCTATCACGCATTGTAGTAGTAATTTTCGACAAGCTATAAATATACTGGATATGATTTATTTCAGTATTAACAACAAGGAGAGGTAGAAATGTGGTGTGTGCTACTGTCTGAAAGTTTTTCTTCTCCGTCCTCCAGTGTCATGCTTCGCCACATTTAAAGCATTAGTATTTCCTGGTACTCATCCGTAGTGCCGGTAATTCAGGCCGCAATCTTCAACTTTATGTTCCCATTCGTTTGATTTTGATGGTTGTGTTGCGGCTTCCACTGTGCCCAACAGCTGTCTTGTCACCTTTGGAAGCTCATCAATGTCCACGAGTTGTGCAGCGCTAAGCATTAGTAGTTACTGAGATATACGGTCTGAGATACTGTCGAAGAACTGGTACACCAGTAACTGTGACTCGGACTCCTAATCCTATGTGATGAATGAGCGACAAAGTAGATTCGTCAGCTTTACTGTCAACACTAACGGGTCTCCGTCCTGTCCCAGCTTCACAGCGTGGAACTGCTACATTGCATTAGTGAGTCAGTCGGCTTGTCAAACTCCGCCACCAGTCGTTCAATCACTATCTCCTAGGTCTCTTTACTACCTGACAGTTCCACACTATCGTATGTTGCCTTTCTCTGGGCACAACCACCTTCTGAACTTTGGTGTCCACCAACTCAGAGACGGCATCAGAGTCCCACAAGAAGCTCCTGATATGTCCTTCTTCGAAAGCAGCCGGCCATGAGATCTTCATTGCGTGGAGGTAGCGACACCAAATATAACGGTAGAAGACAAGTGACTTGGTAGCAGAACATTTATTAGGAATGTGATATCTCCATGTTGGGAAACTACGTGCACGTTAGATGAAAATCGTTATTTGCACAAATCTTCCGTGTTGTGCTAGTTCTGACCTTCATTTTGTGTTTCTTTGTTTTCTTCTCGCGTGTCTCATGTTTTTCCGCAATACTGGTTCATTTCCTGTCTTTGACATCATATCTATCCCTCCACTATTCGATATTATTGGGTCGATGAATGTCTCTCTCTCTATATACTACTGATATTATCTTGTCAGTAGCATACGCCACCGAAGTGTCTTACTCTTAGTTGCCGATTTGTTTAATCCAGCTTGAGACATATCGAATTTCTCTTGATGTTCTTTGACTCCAGAAATTTGCAAACCGTGATGCAACTAATTACCATAAATTTTCTCATGTAATAGCTGATTTAATAACGTATCACATTATCCTCTATCTAATACTTTGCCTCCTAATTACAGGATATGAATAAAGCTAGAACAACAGTAGTTTGTGCAAAAATAATATGGTACCATCGTTGGTTTCTCATCAGATCACCTGCTTACAGCCTAAATAAATCATGACGTTTATGTACAGGAAAGTTTTAACACGCTTGCGAATTCTTTTCATCATGTCAGTTGTCAGGAGTTTATGGACTTAGTGAACAGTGCCCAGAAAATTGCGCTTATATAGTTTTTACACAGGCAGTTCAAGTTTGAACAAAAATAAATGTGTGCTAATAATAGTAAAGGAGTTACATAATCAAGACGAGAGATGTGGAAGATGTTAACTCCAACTGTGTATGCAAATTTACGTGTGTTTGCGTGAGCAGTTACATTAGGAGAACAGAAAGAAGGGCACACCTCCGATTTTCTGAACATGTGTCAAAAAGCCTACGTCTCAAGGGAAAAAACTCTTATTATAGGGCTATTACCAGACATCTCTTCGATACGGGTCATCAGGTGGAAATAGCGAAATCCTTTGCAATCATCAATAGACAAAGGAGCTTGATTCTCCTGAAATTTACCGAAGCAGTTTCTATGAGAAGCTTGAAACTAGATTTAAGTGTTGAGAAACAAGCAGTTATCAGTATTCCTTTGACCATCTGGTAACTGGGTGTCTTTATTCTCCCTCACTTTGATTTGATTGCGTAGTCTTTGGCTTTAACCTCACCCCCCTTTTTGGTATAGTGTAATTTTGCTTACCCCTTGTTTCTATGACTTAATTTGAACTCAGGACGTCGTTACCTAATTTATAAGTCACTCATCATCTTACGTATCTCTCGTCTTTATTACGTAACTCCCTTGCCACTGTATGCATGCATTTATTTTGTTCAAACTTGAACTCCCTGCGTAAAAACCATATAGGCGTAATTTTCCTAGCACTGTTGTCTAAGCCCGGTACCTCCTTTCAACTGAAATCAGGAAAAATTTGCAAGTATGTTAAAACTTCTCTGTACATAAACATCATAAACGTCATTTATGTAGGCTGTAAGCAGGTGAGCTGATGAGAAGCCGACGAAATAAAAAGTGATGGTACCATATTACTCTGTACAAATCACTGTTGTTCTTGCTTTATTCAAATTCATCAAAGGGAATAAATGTATGAAATCGCTAGATGTATATCTCAACTCCAAGTCATCAATCTACTCCACAAATACATACTTTCTACACAAGAATTTCAATAAGCTTTATAGTTAAAAGTTCACAAAGTTCTAAAAGATCTATCACATTTTCAATCAACCATATATATATTTCCTTTGTTACCTTTAATAAATCTCTTTTTCTGTTTCAGAGTATTAAGTGTGAAGATGCCAATAACTGGTGGTATTGCTGCCCCAACAATTATACCCTTAAAAGTTGGCGATAAAGACAACTTACAAGGTTGTATTGATACACAGACATACATTGAAATTGTATCAGGTAATGCGGAGATTGAGGCCAAACTGATTGACTTGACTTTTATGATTTATTTGGCTTTTTAATTTATGGCAAACCCCCATTCGAACATAAGTAGACAGAAGACTAGTAGTTCAGCGAAGTCTCTTTTCGGCGGCGAATTCATTTTCATAGCTGTACAATCGCAAATATATATGGTTATTTTGTATGTGTGTGGGTGTACATTAAATTTGCCAAACGAAAATACAATTAGTAAGTTCAGATGAATTGGATGTTGATATAAGAGGATAATAACAAAAGTGATGAGTTTTCACAAGAGATTGTTAAAGAAGAGTTACGTAATAACATGATAACAACTCTGTTGATTTGACTTAACTTTTGGTCGTAGGCTTATTTTTCTAACTACTTAAAACTCTTACTTAATTCCGGATGTAATTTTGTTTCTATGTGCACCTTAAGCACAACGCTTTCATAAACCTATTCATGTTATTACGTATCTCTTCTTTAATAGTCGTCTGTGAAAACTCATCACTTCTGTTACTACCCTCTTATGTTAACATCCAATTCATCTGTACCCCTTTTGTATTACGCAACTCCACCAAAATCTTACTATTAGTATTTTCGTTCGGCAACTTTAATGTACACACACATGCAAAACAACCATATATATATTCGTGATTGTACTGCTACGAAAATTAATTCGCCGAAGAGATTCATCGGTGAATTACTGGTCTCCTATCTATTACTTGGCTTTGTCTTAAAAATGCATTAAGTGATTAAAACAGATAAAATTTCTTTTGAATTCAACCAAATTGCTACTGCTGGTTAAATGTGAGAGATAAAGTACGATTGTGATCATTTAAATGTAATATTTAAGAATAAATGGTTTAACTATGCTCACCGATTACGGCTACAGGTAAGATTTCGTCATGGTTTCCTATAGAATTTCGGTGGTATGAAATGAAACCAGTTAGGCGCCAAATAAAAGTAGTAGGCGTTCTGGTTGGCGATAACTGTCGGCTGATACAATTTACTCCCGACTACTGGTGTTAGTCAGTGGTATTTAGCTAGACAGACATTTATCAAAATTGACACCTTGCTTAGCAACATTCGTAATAATTTATTCGAGCATTTTAATTCAGAGCAACAGTATAGAATAGATAACAAAGCCAAAGTGACCTTGAATCTACCAATTATATTTTTCTAGGTGAAAAATGGCATTTATTTGGAAAAACAGTGTATTTATAAGGCATATATGTAATAAAATTGAATTATACAAGGTATATATCTCTAAGATGCTGTAAAAACTGGTCCCGGCTTCTCACAGAAGCCTCTGTAGACATATAAAACCAATGTGGATGGAGAAGATCTTAGTGGCTGTTTATCATATTGTAATGGCAGAAGACATGGGACAGGAAACAGATCGTTTATTCAGAAAATCAACAGATATTTATAGATTTTTATGTAAATTATTATTAGCCCTATTGTCAGCAGAGAAACAACGTCTTCTGATTGGTTGCTTTTTTGCTGAAGGTTATTCTGTCATATCTTTATGGCCGCTTCTCAGACATTCCGTTGATATATCTACTTAATGGTATCCGCCCACGCTAAGTCTGCTGTGATTGGTTGTTGGCTTCCTCAAGGTTGTGCTTTCTTCTTGTTTTCTCTCATGGCCAAGATTTGGGCCGTAAATATTGACGTAAGCTGCTGTCTAACTATTTTGGCTAACACACAGCTCTCTCTCATATCGGAAACCATTTATCATTCTAATACTTTTTTGGATGCACCCAGAATCCTTCAATAGAATTTCTATGAGTTCCACTTATAGGATCTATTAATTCAGAAGTATAAATGACTTTATGATGAATATAGTCTTATGGTGCGAGTTGCGAATAACCTCTCCACTCGAGTGTTTGAATGTTAGCACCTAGGTGGATTAGTCGTTGTATTACTGCTATTAAAACATCTGTGTGAAACTTGCAACGAAGATTATGAATAACATACATGTTTAATGTCAAGGCATCTTATTGCTAGATTCAAGGCCATTTGACTTTGGTGTCTATTCTTTACTGTTGCCTTACTCAGTCCCAATAAGTTTCAGCTCAGCAATAATACTTCTAACTGTAGTACAAAATAAGGAGCTACGGACCACAAAGTGACAGGTGTAATCGTTTGATGGGTATTATTATTATTTCTTTTGGTTCCTAGTGGAATATAGGAATTCAACCACACACCCATTTTTTTTCTATTTTCTGCGGTCATCTTTAGCTAGGCCCACGTTTGTGCATAATCTGTCATCTCCTCCTGCGACGGTTTTCTCGATTTCACCATTGGATTGACGCCCAGTTCGTCGTTTGCCATTCGGATTCCTCGTGTGCTATGTCATTCTACGGTCTCCCCAGAGTGTGTTTGATTCCCCTCCATTTTCTTCGGCTTACTTGTTGGACTACAGGTTCTTGGTTGATTCGTTTCAAAAAGTTCTTGTTGCTTATTCTTTCTTACCGAGTATTTGATCTTCAGTATGGAGTTAATACAGGTGGCAGCTGTTGATAAAAGCCTGCAGTTGCCTGTTGAAAATGCATTTTGTGATACGTGATTCACTATGGTGACCTGTATCAACATGACAGATGTCTAGCAATGGCACTGCTCAAAGCATTTATTCCCATTGAAACGTAAACGTTTTGGTACATTTATAAATTATTTACATCCGATTTTCGACTGTCTTTGTGGAAGCAAATACATCGATCGTACAGAAAGGCGATTGTTTACTTCCATGATGGAGCATTTGCCGAAATGGCTGAAAACAGTTGAAGCCAAATTGCTAAAACTTTCAAGTACCTCGTAGACTACGGTCACGACATTGGCACAGTCAAGTCATTCACTGTTGTCGCCTATTACTACCGATATTACTCTGTTTGCAATTCTTGTTCTGTTCTCTAATAACTACTTGTTTATATAAGTGATGTAATTGAAGCGTATTGCATTTTATCATCACTTAAAATCTCTCATATTCCTTCTCCTGCTTATCTATTTGAACATGACCTGTAAAACATTCACACCTGTCTTTCTGCATGACTAATTCAATGTAGTTTATTTGTGCTTATCAGTTTTATCTATCTCAATGTAATTTCAAAAGTACATATATCCGTGTATGTAGAGTATTCAGCAGCTGAAGAGTTCTACCGAAATTTGATGAATCCATCATTAAATCCTGCTTTATTAACCACATTTGTTGCTTGTTTCAAATTCGTATCGGGAAATAAATGTTTTCACTTCTATAAGTAGTCGTTCCTTTTCACTACTAATTATTCAACAACTTACATTATTTCTGACCAGTGTTACTCTTATTTCCAATTAATTAATGACTGTCATTGTTAAAAGTATGTTCAGATCTTTAATTTAATTTAAAAATTTTGGTATGGTTCAGGTTGTAACCACCAGTTGAGAAGAATCCACAAAATAATAAAAAAAATATAAACATAAGCTCAGATTATCCTGGTGTATTTGTTGTTCTTGCCTTATTCAAATTTTTGGTTCATATTCAGAGAATCTCCGATATGTCCTTCTTTCACCCCTCTCAATGTATAAAATAACAGTTTGCCAATCCAGGGTTATCTTAGCTAAGGTAGGGTTTAATGAATTCATCAAGTTTCGATAGAACTCTTCAACTGCTGAGTACTCTACATACAGGGACATATATATATATATATTGAGTTGTTAAGCTTTTGGAACTTCATTTCATCCGTTGGAAACGAATTAATTTTGTCAACATAATCACATTTATTCATCAGTGCTACTCCGACTCCTATATCAGGTCTACTGATTATAATCTTTTCATCGTTCCTTAACTTTCTTAGGGCTTCTCGATGCTGTTTAGTCAGCAAGCTTTTACTAGAATGACTACTGTTTTTATACTGCCAAAAAACTGCCAACTAGTGTAGTTTTAAACCTAGCAGCTTCATCGTCTGATGTTGGGATCAAATCTTTTGTTTGTAGGAGAGGGGTTTTCAAACTGGATATTGGTATCGAGTTGGTTGACCTTATATCCTGGGTCACAAAATCTAAGACTCAATGATAGAGCTTCTAACTGTAATTTATCTAGTGTTACACTTGAAAAATTATGGACGTACCGATAAGGGTCTGAGGGGGAATGAAGGGAAATCCTTTTCAGGATTTTGGCTGTCTAGTGATTTGATAAGTTTTTTTCTTCTTTTCTCTACTCTGTTTTGGTTAACTCTGTCAACATACTCGATGAAATCAAATGATAAATCCTCAGGAATTTCTTCTGTGATAAATTTCTTTCTATATCTGAAATGTAAATTTTTAACACGCTTAAGGAGCTGAGAAAAAGTGGAGTAATCTCAGAGGCAGCCTACAACCGTCTTAAATATAAATACATATATATATATATATATATATATATATATATATATATATATATATATATATATATATATACTATTGGAAAGACACTGGGAGATATAATATTGACAAGCAAATAAACTACATTGAATAAGTCACACAGGAAGACTGGAACTGAAGATAGTTTGATAATTTTATCATCAGTCATCTTAAAGTTATTCATTTGAGGAATATTTTAAGGAGACATATTATCTGAAACTTACTTGAGACTGTTTACAGAAATTTCTCTTTCATTTTTTCTGTTATTATGTGAACATTATGTATAACAGAGACACCAAATGCCCGTCTTTACTTTACAACAAATGGCAGCAATCCAAATCCATGGAAAAGAAAAGTGAATGGACGTGAAGTCACTTTTGTATATAAAGCACCATTTGCACTTCGTCCTGGTCGAAGAGTTGTTAAAGCTATGGCTGTTCACAGGTAATTAATTATTTAATTGATAATTTTATTCTGATTAGAAATGAAATAATTATAAAGGCAGCTAATTTGTTATGCGATCATACTGTTTCTGATATTATTGTAATTAGTTTCTTTGAGGGCCAACAGCAACAACAACAGACAATAATCAGCATAAATGGGAGGAATCTTAAAGAAGCAACCTCCTTCACCTACCTACCTATCTACCTTGAGAAGCATCGTTTCAACTACAGGCGGGTAGAACTGACGAAGATATAAAAGCAGCGAAAATCGGGAAAGTTAGGGAAGCTTTCATTACACTGAAGTCTGTGGAGGAGATCAGCAGCACTCAGCATGAAGAATAAGATCCAGATTTTCAACTCCAGTGTGAAGTCAGTCAGTGCTACTTTATTGATCAGAGACCTGGAACGTCACAAAGGGCACTTCGAACAAACTACAGACTTTCATCAACATTTGTCTTCGTTCAGTACTCAAGATCAGATGGCCTGCCAGAAAAGATCACCAACAGAAAGGGATCACTGGGAACGAACCAACTCGGCAAGAACCAATTGTGAAAGAAATATGCAGGAAGAAATAGAGGTGGATTGGCCATACTCTGAGAAAACAAACCGTCAAGTTAGTGACATCTCGCGTCAGGCCATAACTCGAGGGCAATCGGAATGGGAAGTGGCAAGTTGGCCGTCACTGTGAGAGAGACATGGAGGAGGCGATGCGAAGAGGAGATGAAAGCATGTGGGCAGATGTGGAGCCAGGTGAATGTGTTTGCAGAGGACCGAACGCGATGGAGACGTGTTGCTGAAGCCATATGTTCCTACAGGAACTTAAGGAAACAATAATAATAATCATAATAATAAATTTCTTTGAGAGTCAACATTCTGAAAAACAACAGACTCTTCTGAACATCCTGAACAAAACTCTTAATAAAATAGGCAGGCGATTCATCCCTATCAAATTTAAAAGGATGTTAGATGACTGCTCTGCAACGACTCGTAGTTTACAGACAGAGAGTGAAGTGGTAGAGTGTGTTGATACCTACTTCACTTACTTGAGAAGTTGAATTAGTGTCAATGGGACGGATTGCTGAGTACATCTCAGCAAGGATAAAAAAAAGGCTGGTGTGGCATTTGTCAGTTTACGTTATCTCTGGAGTAAGTGTGGGATTTGGCTATCAATCAATGGACGTGTGTACTGCTTTCTATTTTTTTGTGTCACACTTTATGACTGTGGGACATAGGCACTGAAAGTGGAAGACATGATCATAGGTGTCTGTGTTCCATCTCCTGTGTTAAACGTTGAGTGTTAGGTTGATTAATTGAGATAGTTAGTCAATGTGTTGTGCATGTCGAGCCACCACTTTCCTCAATGAACGAAATTAGCTGACGTTAGATTGATTTGAAAGAGAGTTAGGCGTGGTCAGACGAAAATCTGGAATGGATTCACGAAATCTTTGACAGTTGGTCAGAACCGCATAAGGAGGTGTAGATTGCTTGGCCGGTTGAGGACCTTGGTACGCTAAGAACCAGTGGCTAGAGACTATTAGTAATAATACTTAAAATCATTTTCAGTGATCACAGGTATTCACTCTGTACAATTTCCCATGTCAGTTTGACTCACATGTATTTCAGTGTTATTACTGTTATCTCTCTTAGTTCCTAGAGGTAAATAGGGATTCAACCATACGCCTCCATTGCGTTTGGTTCTTCACCGATTTTTTACCTGTCTCCACGTCTGTCCACATGCTTTCATCTCCTCTTATCATCACTTCCCCCACTCCATGTCACCCCATCGTCGCACTGACGACCAAATCGCTGCTTTCTATTCCGCTTCCACTCGAACAATGGCCTGGTTTGTTTTCTCAGAGTACGGTCAATCCACCTCCAATTCCTTCCTGCATATTTGTTGCACATTTGATTCCTGTTGGGTTGGTTCGTTCGTCGCCAGAGATCCCTCCCTGTTGCTTATCTTTTTCCCGTCTATTTCTTTTGAATCTCTTTTATTTTCTCTTCTGTCTTCCTTTGTGTGCTACATACAGCTTAGAAACTTGATCTACATCACTCGAGTGTAATGCTCTTTGCTGAATCTCAGTTAGTTAGTCAGTCAACATCATTTAGAGATCTAACAAAATTCCAGGAGCACTGAATAGTTGCTTGGCTTTAGTTTAGGATTCGTTTATCTGTGAACATCCAGGACCATCAGGAAAAAAATAAGCGAGCGTAATAGTACTATTTAGACGAGGAGTTCAAATTTCAATCTGCTTCATTCTATTGTGTGATGTTGCATAATAGTTACGAGTAGATACATTGATACAGAGTGATCACTGTGACTCGGTGTGTAAGCACTTATTATTATTATTATTGTAATTCTGCATCTGAAATTCTATTCATCTAAAACAATCTCCGTATTTCAACTTCTCCGTCTAATAAAATAGAAGTATAATGCTAGCCAATTACGCATCTGGTTTCGGGTTCGACCGGTAAAGAGGGAAGTTTGGGCATGAAGCTACGCAACCACAACCCTTAATAAAGTAGTCATAAAGGAAATAAAGTTTTCTTTAAACAATCATGTCATCCGATACTGTGTTCTGTTTTGCTTGAATCCTTTTCAGTTGAGTAAAGGTTATAAAGGTTAACAATGGGGGTTCCAAATGCATGACATTCTTTGTTTTCCAGTAAATTCGCATTTCCCCTGGGGTAGATTAAGTTAGACCGAAATGATTGGTCTTTAGATGGTTGGAGGCAATCAGTAGAAAGCCTTAGACTCGGGTTTCGTCCTATTTGGCACTCACCAGTCAGCAAGGCGTATCTGCAACGTTGAAGGAACTCACGTCCCTTCTGAGTTTCGAACCCGCGTCACCCAGTGAGAGCTGCAATCCGAGATGTTACCACTGAGCTATTTGGGATCACGACTTACCTCCTGTAGGACTGTATTGGATACTTAGATTCGACACTAGTTAATAACAAGTGTGATGTATCTTGTCCATTGTTTAATGCTGACTGAATTCCATCAGTCAGCCTTGCGATGTGGCCACCATTCTAGGTAGCTCGTCATCACAATGCACAATGATTTGATGATATTGGATAGTTGGAGGCGATCGGCAGGAAGCACTGCCTAGGCCTAGGTTTCGTCCTAGTTGGCAATAACCAGTTAGCAAGGAATATTTGATAGAATTTATTCTGCGCCAAAGATAGAACTAGACACATCACACTAGTTACTGACTAGTGTCCAATCAAAAATAATTGGTCTTTATTGACATTTAAGCTCATAGTATGGGCGCCTTGACATTGTCTGAGGGCTGAAATCAACTTATTCAGTTTGAAGGCGACTAGAAGTACAATCCAAGATTTTTTTGATTACAGCTTGATTCCACACTGTATTTTTGGTACAAGTATGGAATTTTCAGCATGGATATCGGTAGCCCAAATTTTGTAGGCCGACCATAGATATCAGGTGTGCGTCGGCAGGGAATCGAACCTCGGACCATGTGCATAGTCGGCGAGAGTCCTAACCACTGTGACACCAACGCACGCATGCATGCACATTTCGTCCTATTTGGGACTCGTTGTCTGTATGTAGGTGTACTCCAAGTGAGTGATGCAGTCAGATTGACCTAAATACAAACAATAAATGATACGCGTAGCCCAAGAAATGTCTCTTGTGGTTCTCATGGAGCACTAGGTAATGCTTTGGGGTTTGAAACGATGGGCTTGAGGTTCATGCCACAAAGGGGACACCATCACTCACTGGAGTTACTGAAATGCACATCCTAGATTCGAATGATAGTCAAAAAGAAAGCATTATTCTTTCTTCTTAATTATTTCCTTTGCCACTCATTGATTTTTAGTGTAACAAATGTCGAAAGTCATACAGTTACACGGAAATTCAACGTCTTGGAGGCCAATTCAGAAGAAAATCTTCAACAGTCTAACAAACAAATTGTTTCAGATGGTGATGTAGACAATACAAGTGATATTCTGGATATTCTTGACAATTATGATACGGAAGATGAGGAGGAATTCGGTACTGTCAATCGCGGTAGAGGGGATGCTTATACGTCTGCAATACTGCAAAGGGTAAATTATGATTTTCTGGGGACTTTCGTTTTTAATATGCGATTTAAAACAGAATTGTTCCCTTTGATAAATTTGGATAATGTCATTATAGAGGATGGAGGAACTATATCTTTAGGCATAAATCTGACTGACCTAAACAAACTGGTTAGCACTCACCAGGTGGGCAACATAGATGGCACTGAAACAGAAACCAAGTCAGAAATTAAATATTTTGGCGTCATTCTGTATGCTGATCTTTCCTGGTCGTCTCATATCTTGATGATTTCTAAGAAAATAGTCTGTCTTACCTTCTACATCAAGAAGTTAAGACATTCTGGTATAAGCCAACCCTTACTCCTACAATTCGTTAACTCTCACACTCTGCCTATTATTCTCTATTGTTCCCCTTAGTCTTTCCAGGGCTACTGAAGAAGGACTATACCTTATTACGCAGGATGTTAAAGGTTGTCAGCAGGGTAAGCCACGTGCCACATAGCCAACTTGTTAATATTCTGGTTGACAGGCACATGGACTCATGTAAAAAATGGGCTAAATCCATTCTATCTATCTAACTCACACCACCCTCTTCATTCACAACTCTCCCCTTGTATTTCATCAGGCAAAACAAGAAGCCTATATAGGAAACTATATGCTCGCATTAGTAAGTACAAAATCTCAACCATACCCTACCTAGCTCGTGTTCTGTGCGATATAGAAAGCATTAGGCGTGATACCTATAACTTATTAAATAGTCAGTAGAACAACTGGATCTCGTCGATCCAACTCATATCATTTATAGGTACAACGTTTTCTTCCTTTCTTTTCTTTTTCTCTCTCTTTTTTGTGTTGTTATGTGCTGCTTTGTTTCTTTCTTCCTTACTAACTCTATTAAAACATTCTTCGTTCTCTCATACTCTGCATATCTTGACCTTTTTGTTACCGCTTACGCCACTATATATGCTATCATCTACTTTTCTGACACCATCAAATACTCTGTTCAATTTTTGGCTTGGCTACCTGTATGCTTATATGTTGTTGTCATAATGAAATGAGATTTCCTTAATCTATGTAGAATTTTCTTTATTGATAATGTACTAACTGGATGCAATACTGTAGTAAAATGCTGAGAATTCCATTCTGTATCACAAGTACTGTTTTGCAATAAAGCAAATTATTATTATCTGAAAAGTGTGGTATCATGTATTTTCGCGATATCTTTCGAATACTAATTTGATCACACATATACTTGGATTTAAGAATGAGGATAGTGAGAATAATTAACACTACTCTGAGTAATATATTCTGATGACGATTACCAAGGTAGGTTATTAGTAATAATAAATAGTCTTTATACATACAGGGTAGGGAATTGTGGGGGGGGCTTAAGTTTACAAATAACCGTTGCCTAAGCGTATTTCAGTAAGCATACTTGCCTTTTTTCGAAAGCTGTTTTGATATCAGTCTTGTGATCGATATCGATCAAGTGTTTAACTGTAGAAGAAGTTGGTATAGGATGCTGTTCAACCACGTACGTCGTTCGGGATTTAATCCTCGACCGCTAAGCCAGTCTTAAAGCTGGTAAAGAGGGAAGGTTGTAGGGCATAAGGTTGTGGTGAGAGCTGTCTGCAAGCCAAAATTATAGACAGCAGTTTACGTCGATGTTTACGTCCCTAGTCGGGGTCATGAGAAAAAAAACACAGGAACAAAGCTTAACCTTGAGGAACTCAACAACCAATCACAGCAGACTTTGTCTGGGCGGATACCATTGGCAGATATATGGTTTAATTGTTTAAGAACCGTCAACAAAGAGATGACAGAGTAACCTTGAGCAAGAAAACAATGAATCAGAAGACGTTACCTCTCTGCTAACAATAAGGCTAATAATAATGTACATAAAAATTTTAAAATATCTTAAAACAATTAGTCCCTTTGATAAATTTGAATAAGGCATTAAGAAGACAAATTTCGCGAGATGATATCATTTCGTAGTTTCTTTACAACCGCTTTACAACTAACATGGTTAACAATGATAAAATAAAGTTCATGAAAATTACTCAGTTAAATAAAAACAAAAGTATATACTAATGACCAATCATATTAAAATAGGTCATGCAGTCCAGGGTAGGCGAATAATTGAAGTCTATTGATTTTTGTACACACAGTTTAGGCTGTATGTGATGAATCCAAAGTGCTTCCATCACCTTCAATAACCTTGAATTAGAGTTATGTGAAATAATTGTGAAACAGTCATTAATATTGATTTTGTGATCAGACATTAATAAGTGTTTTGCAATGGATGATGCTGGATTTCTACTAAGATTAATCGCGTTAGGATTTTCGATATGATTTACTATCCATTTTGGAACATGTTCTTTTCGACGACATTGGAACATTCTGTTAGTTCTACCTATATAGGTGTCAACGCAGCTGCAGGTGAACTTGTAGATACAGTTTGAAGTAGAGTCCACAGATTTTCGTCCTTAAATCGTAGGTACAGGGATCGAAAATGTTCAGCAAGTGAGAAAAAGAGATGCTCCGTAGAATGTGCGTTTGATGGCTGATCGAAGTCTTTGAGTTGTCAACTGCATAATCTGGTTGCCCTTGAATGGTAGATTAATAAAGATGGCTTTCTTTGGTACAGAAGCTGTCTTTTTGAGATGTGGTTTTTCTTTGCTGTGACAAGTGATAAAGCTCTCCGGATAACCATTAGCTAATAAAACTGAATGTACATGTCGAAGCTCATCCATCAGTGTGTCACTCGTGCATATTTTTCGGGCCCTTGAGAACAAACATTTCACTAGGGAACGTTTACACTGGATAGGAACAAAACTGGTAAAATGAAGATATTGTCCAGTCCATGTTTGTTTACGAAAAATAGAGCGCTGAATCGTTCCATCATTTCTCCTAGTCATAGTAATATCCAGGAAACCGAGTTTGTTATTCGATTCTAGTTCGGAAGTCACTCGAATATTTGGATGAATATGATTAAATAGAGTAATGAAGTTTTCAATAGATTTACTATTATTACCAATAATAAGAGTATCATCTACATAATGTTTATACAGCATAAATCCTCTAAGCATACCTTGCATTTGTTTCTCTAATTTTGACATAAATATATCTGCTAACAGGGGCCCCAGAAGGCTCCCCATCGCAACACCATCGATTTGTTTGTATGCCTTTTCTTGGAATGTGAATCCAATATTTTCTGTACACATTAAGATCATGTCTTTGATGTAAGTTACAGGAAAAGGTAAGTTTATGCCTTTGCTTGTGATATAATCGCAAATGAAATCAACAGTTTCATGAAGGGGAACATTGGTGAATAAAGATTCTATGTCAATTGAACACATAACCTTTTACTTAATGTTCAAGGTGTCCAGCATTTCTGTAAGATCAAATGAACTTTTTACAGAATGATTTGATAATGAGTCTCTTACAGGCGTAATGACCTCTGTAATCCAAATTTAAAATATCTCTCGATTTTCTGAATAAAAGATATGTTTCCTGGCCCTTGTGTCCCGTCTTTACAAGGTCAGCAACCCTACCCTGCCGTAAAAATTAAAACCAATGCTACCAAAAATTCAGAGCTCTAGCTTGAAGCCTTATGTTCCTCTTGAAATATAAAGGAATAAAATAACGAATAAGAAATACAGAGGAAGTTTGTAGTCTGCTACTTACGATTATGGAGGTTTCATAGTCCATTTGTTTTTCTAACCACCTGGGTATGTATTCTCCCACACTCAAGTGCAATACGCTATTAGTCCTCCCTATCGATGCGTGACCACACAAATACGTAGACTGGTCTATAGTATGAGGTGTGACGTAATCACTTGTGCAATGTTAAGGCTTGCAGTAGGGAATATTTTTGATTTTTTCAATAATTATGAATACTTGCATACAATTGGTGGATGGTGGCTAGCAGTGGAATCCAGGATGCGCATTTCGTCCTAATTGGGACTCGTCAGCTGGATGTACCTGCATTTCTCAGTGAATGATGATGTTCCCACCGAGGCTCGAACCCAGTGCCCACCATCCACCAATTGTATACAAATCAAATCCCCAGACATCATCGAAGCATCTGCACAAGAAGCCGACATGTCAACCTGAGACCGAACACTTCGGTCCAATCAATCGACGGGAAAATCAAAAATTCAATTCAATAATTATGAATACTTCCTTCACTTATCTCGGAAGAACAGTTTCAATCACAGACAGTCAAAACGGATGAAGATATCAAAGCCAAGCAAACTTAGAAAGTCAAGACACGTCTTCATCAACCTGGAACCAGTTTGAAAATCTTTTGCACTCTGCCAACACAAAAAAACAACAGGTTTTGGATTTCAAACACAAATGTGAAGTCAGTCATTTCTTCCATACGGGTCAGAAACTAGCACTGCGTGTCACGGAAAGTATTTCTAACAGCCTACAGCAAACTTTCATCAAAAGCTGCCTTCACTGGCTCCATTCTGAAGATCAAATAGCAGGCAAGAAAGAATTGGAAATGAGAAACTCTGGCTGGCGATGGACCAACCAAGAGCTGATTGTTCAACAAATATGTAGAAGAAAATGGAAGTGGATTGGGTAAACGTTGAGGAGGCCATCGAATGACATCACAGTGGGAAGCGACGAGTGAGTGAAATGGAGGAGGTCATGTGGGGAGGAAAAGATGAGAGAGTATGCGCAATTGTGGACCCTATTTGAAGAGGACGGCAGAAAATAGAACAAAGGGGAGATGTGTTGTTGAATCCATATATTTCACTCGTAACCAAAGAGATTAAAAATAATAATAATAATAATATAAGGCGGACAGCCTAACAGGTTCTATGGATGCTTGAGTTTAGTCTCTGTCTTCTAATAACATGCAATTTTCATCTTCTTTTCTTTATATTTCAGCGTAACAACGATTTCACCGATGATATTGTAGAAAATTTTATGCGAAGTAAGTTGAACTGCAACAGTTTCAATATATGTGTATGCATGTTCTAGAGTTCCAATATTAACCCACTTGTAAAATAGCTATGAAGTAAAGAGATACCATTTGCGTTATATATTCACTGTTTTTGAAATACAAAATTAGATATTCACGTGTTAGTTTGCAGGGATTTGATTGGTTTTAGGATTTCATTATGAACTGACATCAGTCAGAGGACTATTAGATAACCTATGAGTACTGGACAAGTGTTTCATCCTAGTTTGCGTCTCTTCATCAGTACACAACAACTGAAGTAGATAGTTACCTGGGTTCTAGTAGGAAGTCGTGACCAGTGGTGTCTAGCAGGTCGGGAGTGAGAACAAATAATCACCGGTGACATCCGTTAGAGGTTGCGCGATATATTGTGAATTAGCAGAAGTTGGAATTCATGGAACACTCGAGGGTGTCCCAGTTGTCGGATGGTTTACGAGCTTGCTTGCTTGCTTGTAACTGGAGGTTCCTAGGTTAGAACCTCCCTCCTGTGGTGGGTGAGTAATGTGACGAGTATCAAAATAGGACGAAACAGCTGTCCAATACTCTCAGGTTTTCCAATGTTCCTGTAACCGATCTCAGTTCATGATGGAATTCTGACAAACAAAATTAGATAGTTAGTCTTTGTCAAAGCAAGAAGGACAAGATTTGTAGTGTAAGGTGTTCACATTTTATTCCCAGGCTTTTGTTCAGCTGAAGACAGCCTAAAATATATGCATAGGGGTAATGAATTAAGAAGATCCCTTTTTTCTGTCTAGTAGAAGCCAAAAAAGAAAGCATACTTTGAAAAAATATCAAACAGCTTACTTTCATGGCATAAACGTTACGTTTGAGCTGTCAGTCTTAACTGACTCAGTTGATTTTCATACCGCCTCCAAGTTTAACATCATTCCCTTGGGTTCCGATTGGAACATGGAACTTCAACAGCACAGCTCCACTTTTTTAGTATTCTCTGCAGTCCTCTGTAGCTGGCTTCAAGATTGATCGCCACACGATCTCGTCTGTATCTCCGTTAGACACCAGAGTTATCGTTTCACTTTCGCGTTCCATTCTAGGGCCTGGTGTGTGTGTGTGTGAAGTCATTCAACGATCTTCTCAGAATGTGCGCGATCCATGTCCATTTCTTTCGGCTTATTTGCTTGTCGCGATGGACTTATGGTTGATTCCTCGCTACAGCTCAGTGTTTTTCATTCTTTCTGGTTGGCCATCTGATCTTTAGCGTGAAGAAAAGTTCGATGTTGCTAAGAGTCTGGAGGCTGTTGGAAATACTTCAGGTGGTGCGCATCAACTCTCTGAATTACGCAGAAGTACTGATGTAACATTAGTAAACTAACCTCGCAGATTATTATTCACCACTTTTAGATCGTATATCTTTTTAAACTGATACTTATCTGTTGTCAGATTGTTCGTGTGTCTGCAGGTTTTTAACCGTAAAAGGAAATCGTACAAATAAAAATTTTTGTGGTGTATTCAGCCGACGAGTCCTACTGAAATGTATGAATTTATAAAATACTACTTGTTTCACAGTTGCTGCTTGTTTTAAATTAACTACGGGGAAGAAATTTTGACAAGTTTTTAATCTGCCAAAGTTAACTAACTAGTCACTCCTAAGCCCGGAAGAAGAGCCTAGGTTGGGCTTGGGGCTAGAGGACTTATCCCGATAAATCAATCCAATCACTAAGGCAAATTCAGGGTACAGTGAATCTCTTCTAAGCGCTTTCTTGTATATTATTAAGTAATCTTCCTAAATGCTGCTAGGCAATTAATATTTTGATATGAGCTGTATTCCGAATCTTTTCGAATTTTCACTTTATGTTGACACATACTACCGACTGATTAATGTAAGTATTGTTTAGATAGTTGGAGACAATCGGCAGGAAGCCTTGGACCTGGGTTTCGTGCTAGTTGGCACTCGTCAGCAACTTTGAAGGAAATCATGTCCCTTCTGAGATTCGAATTCGCGTCACCCAATGAGTGCTGCAGTTAGAGATGTTACCACTGAGCCCTTCGGGCTCACGATCCCTAATTACTAATTTGCAAGGCAGATTTAAGTAATCTGAACACCACCGGTTTGACACTGCGCTAGTCAGTGACATACTAGGTTCAGATATGATGGAGAAGATTTGTAGCTCAGGTGGATGATTTTGATGTGGTTTTGTTCTCTGAGCTGGATGGTTAGTTTGCGAAGCTTTCATCACCTTACTGGGTGACATCTTCAGCGCATACTTCAATTTGAAGTGAGCTTTTAGATTTCTCCACGAGTTTATTAATCATCTCTCCTGGTGACCTTGGACGTGATTGGTTGTTTGTGTGCGTTTTCACACCTTCTAGGTTACTTGTATTGGGACCGGTTGTTTCTTTGACTTGAACTTTGACCCTTTGTGTGTGAAGTTTCTTTCTTATTGGTTGATAAATTTTGTCTATCTCGATGTGTCTATTGATTGATGATCCACTGGAATGCCAAGCTTCTAAAAATTCTCTAGCATTCTTGTTATTTCCTTTGTCTAATATTTGAACGTTGTCCCAGTCGAATTGATGTCCGTAGTTGTCTGTGTGTAGTGAAATGAGGGAGTGGATATCATGTCTTTTGACGGCTAGCTTATGTTCGTGGATACGAAGACGAAGGGGACGTCCACTTTGGCCGATGTAGTGTTTTTCGCAGTTGTTACAGTTTATTTTGTAGATGATGTTGGTTTTGTCTTCTTTCGCTGTTGAGTCTTTTGGTTGACATAGAATTGAGTGAAGCGACTTTGTTGGTTTGTGTACGACGTCAATTCCTAAAGGTTTGAAGAGTCTTGTAGTGATTTCTGAGATATCTTTTATATATGGTAAGGCAATTTTCTTTGTGCGTTCCTTGGTGGCTTTTGCTTTGGTAGGTTGGCTTGGGGGTATATGTCTCTTGATGAAATTCCGTGGATATCCATTCTTTTGGAAGACGTCCATGAGATACTTTTCTTCAATTTTTCTTAAGGTGGGAGTGCTGCAGTGAGTCCTTGCTCTCTTGAATAGTGTTTGTATGCAGTTCCTTTTGTGTGCTATTGGGTTGTTGCTGTTGTAATTCAGTATTTGGTCTGTGTGAGTTGATTTCCTATAAACTTGAGTTTCTAATTCTCCTGTAGTTGTTCGCCTGACTAAGACGTCCAAAAATGGTATTTTGTTCTCGGATTCCTCTTCTCTTGTGAATTTGATGTCGTTGAAGACGTTGTTTATTAAGTTGTGAGTTTTATCTAATTCGTTTCTTTTGATGATTACAAATGTGTCGTCGACGTAGCGTATCCAAATCTTGGGTTTGATCTTTGGTAGAATTATATTTTCGAGTCTTTGCATCACTGCTTCTGCAATCAAACCTGATATTGGCGATCCCATGGGTGTTCCTTTGACTTGTTCATATATTTGGCCGTTGAATTGGAAGTATGTTGTTAGGCATAGATTTATGCATTCCATCCAGCTTGTGTGTTGCATTTTTGATTGTTGTGGAAGTTGTTCGTCGTTGTTAAGTAATTGCTCCATGGCTGACGGAACTGATCAGGATATTAAAGCGAGGATCGGGAAAGCAAGGCAAGATTTCATTTCTCCAAAGTCTGTGTGGAGACCAACATCATTGAGCATGAAAATGAAAATAAGATCCGGATTTTCAACTCCAATATGAGGTCAGTGCTACTCACTATACAGATCAGAGACTTGGCACCGCGCCGCGTCAAGAAGGGCACTTTGAACAAACTACAGACATTGATGAACAGCTGTTTTCTCTCAATTATAGTCAAGAACAGATGTCTGGCCAGAAGAGATCAGCAACAGGAATCTCTGGCGATGAACGAACCAATTCAGAAGGAACCAATTGTGAAACAAATATGTGGAAAGAAATAGAGGTGGATTGGCCATACTCTGAGAAAACCACCAAGTAACATGAAACGACAAGCCATCGCTAGAGTGAAACTCGAATGGGAAGCGGCGAGTTGGTCGTCAGTGCGAGGATGACATAGAGGAGGAGATAATGACAAAAGGAGATGAAATTATATGGGCAGACGTGGGGCTAGGTGAAAAGGTTGGCGGAGAACGGAACGCAATGGAGACATGTGTCTGAAGCCCCATATTCCTCTAGGAACTAAAGCAAGTTATAATAATGATATAATGCTTCGAGATGAAATTTAGAATTTGATTTAAAACTTATTTTAAACTACTAGTTTTGTTCACGTCAGGTCTATCACTTTTGCCATCAAATTGCACTTCTTGGCGTTTTGCAAAACTATGAAATTCTTAGCTTTTATTCAGTATAACAAAAACGCGTATTCTTCATCCTATACATATGTGCGTTCCTGGATTACACATCTGCCTTCGACTCTGTACCTAAACCTCCTTTGTTAAATAGACTTGCTGTGTTACAAGCACAGTGCTAGATTACAAAATGGTTGCATTCCTATTTTTCTGATAGGAAGTAATATACTGTTTACAATGGGAAGTCCTCCATTGATTCACTTACTCTAGCTGGTGCTCCTAACTCAGGATGCTGTTCTTTCTCATTTCCTGTTTTTCTTCTTTTTACATGACGTACTTGTCCTATTCTGATGAAGTCAGTTCTGTTAAGTAGTATGCCGATGATCTAACTTTTTCTATTCCGTTAGTTACTTCTCATTCAGACTGTCGCAAAATGAATAACTTCTAAGTGGAAATTAGTCACTGGTGGTCCTTTTCAAATGGTCTTGAGTTAAATCCGCCCTCCAGATGTCAGCTTACTTATTTGACAGTACAACACTCCTACCTATAGAATGTGCATCGGTGGAACAGTGGTTAGGACGCTCGCCGACCATGCACATGGTCTGGGGTTCGAGCCCCGGACCGACGCACACCTGATATCTATGGTCGACCTGCGAAATTTGGGCTACCGATATCCACGCTAAAAATTTCATACATGTACCAAAAATACGGTGTGAAATCAAGCTGTAATAAAAAAAAATGTAAAAAAAATTATTACGTAA